TATTGGTTTATAAGCCTTAAAAGAAATAAATTTAACTTGGATGAAGCACTACTTCTGACACTTCTTGTTGACTATAACATTATGTAAAGTGCATTGCAGAGTGATCCTTATTAAATTTCTTTGTGACATTTTAAATTGACTCAGAAGAGTCTGTTACATGTAAATGAACAGTTCAGTCGGTCTGTTATTATCGAACATTTAATTTTCTTTTTCTATTGCTGGGGATTGAACCCAGGGTCTTTGTACTGAGTTATATCTCCAGCCCCCCCCCCCCCTTCAGTACATAATGATCCCATTCCCTTTGGGGAGTTGGCACAGGTAGATATTTCTCTAATATCTAGCCCTTTATTTATTTATTTTTTTTAAGTCAGGGTCTCACTGAGTCACTCAGTTGCCTAGGCTGAGTTTAAACTTGCGATCCTCTTGCCTCAGCCTCCCAGAGTGCTGGGATTATAGCCATCCATCACCGTACCCAACTCTATAATTTTTCTTTTTCTTTTTCTTTTTTTTTTTCGGTACTGGGGATCGAACTTGGGTCCTTGCGCTTGCACAGCAGGTGGCAAAACCACTGAGCTAAATTCCCGGGCCCCAACTCTATAATTTTTTGCTATTACAACTCTCCCCCCACCACTCTCCTTCCATGTCCCCCTCCTTCCCTTCCTTCCTCTCTCCCTCCTTCCCTCTTCCTCCCTCTCTTTTTTTGGAAATGGGGTGGAGGGAGGGGAATGGCAGTTAAATAGTTGGGGAAAACTGGCTGTGGGACTTTATACTAGAAAATGAGCTAGGATTATAGAGCTGTGAAGGTGAGATCAGAATCTTCAGTGGTCAGACAGCTGAGATCAGACAGTATAAATGATATGATTCTTAGAGTAGCCAGCTGCTTCTATACATGGGTAATGTTTAATCATAAATCATTTCGCATAAAAAGTGCCTTCCACTTTGTGGTAGAACTGGCTATCACTTGTATTTGTCTTTTACTTTTAAGAAATAAATGAGTTGCTACAACTGTTTCCTTTCTGAATTTTGTGGGAAAATGTTTGCCTTTCACATTAGAATACTGTAAAATATAACATTTATACAAAAAGCTGTGTAATATATTTGCATAAAGACTAACATAATGATGTCCATCCCATCTTCTCCATCAGCTTAAGTAATAGAACATTATCATTCCTCTCCTGGATGACCTCTCCCTACCCCATCCTAATGCTGGTTTGAGGAAACCATCAGCCTTAAGGTGTGGTCTTCCATTCCCTTGGTTCTTATAGAGTAACTTACATATGTAGATATCCCTAAGCAATACATTGGTATTGTGTTATTGTATATATGTATATGTATAAATATAGTAAATATAGCCATCAATGTTTGTGAGATTTATTTGTTTATATGCGTACTTTTGGTTCATTTCACTGCTTCATAATATTTGATTCTATAAAGATGACATAATATTCACTCTTTTGATGAAAATTCCAGTGTTTTTACTATTACATACAGCATTGCTATGAGCATTTTGAGTATATACTCTAGCACATGTGAATTTCTATAGTTGCATGTCTTCCTTTTGGTGGTTGCATAATAAACATTTTTAATGCTTTTATTTCCAGTTTCTGTGTGTTTTCCTGTTTAGATATGTTTGTGAATAATATATGGCTAGATTTTTAAATACAGTCATTTTTAACTTGACAATTTATTTTTAAAGTTAAAATCTTTACTCTCTGTATTAGTCATATTTGGTTGTAATCTTGTAACAAACACAAAACTTCAGTGGCGTACCACAGAAATTTGTTTATAGCTCATAGATCTGCAATCTGCTGAGTTTGATGTGATTTGGTTATGTGAATTGGTGTGTTTGTTTTATCTTTTTGTCATAATGACAAAATACCTGACATAAACAATTTGAGGAAGGAAAGATTTATTTTGGCTCCGAGTTTCAGAAATTTCAGGCCATAGCTGGCTAGCTCCATTACTTTTAGGTCCATGGCAAGGCAGAAACATGGTGGAGGAAAACTGACTGCTTCCTGGCCAGGGATAAGATATATCTTTTTTTTTTGGTACCGAGGATTGAACTCAGGACCTTGCACTTGGCAAGGCAGGTAGTGGAACCACTGAGCTAAATTCCTGGGCCAGATACATATTTTTTTTTTTTTTTGGTACTGGGGATCAACCAGATATACCTTTTAAAGGCATACTCCCAGAGACCCATTAGGTCTCACCTCTGAATAGCTCATCTGTGTATGAACTATCAGTGGATTAATTTATTGGTGGGATAGTGCCTTCACAATCCAGGTACCTCTTAGTCCAAGTAAGTTGAGAATCAGGATTAACCCTTGAAGTTGGCTTAGCAGCTACCTGGGCAATACATTTGCCTTGGTGCAGTGCAGGAGGATGCAGGCAAACTTTGTGGTCTTAATGACCTCCTGTTGGAACTGAAGCAATCAGCCTACATTCCAGCAAGGCATATGGCCACACCCCCAGTGCCAAAATGTTTGAAAATGAGGTTATATGCCAGTTTTTGCAGAAATATCCCAGTACTGTATACCTTTTCTGTGAAATTGTGGATTTAACACGCATTATGTTTTCTCTCTTGAATGGGGTGCAAAACAGTAAGAATGTTTTTCTTTCTTTGTCCAGTGGGAAAGGGTAGTGTTTAGGGGAGGAGACAGGAAATTTGAACACACTTTTTTTTTTTTACTACTGAAATGCCTTTTTGCTTAAATGAATTGGTAGACTAATTTGAAAGTATGCAGTGGGAATTTGTATTTTGAAGCTGTGATTAGCATAAAGAATCTTGAACAAGTGAGTTCACTTCTAAGTCATTTATAAATGTTTCTAAGAACTTCTCCAGACATTTTACATTAATTCTAACACGTGTTGCATATTTGTAAACTATAAGACATCTGTGAAGGTAGGATTATAAATCTAGTGTGTATAAGTTTTATTATTCTAGTATTTTTGAGTGAAGTATTTTAGTGTTGAGAAAGCCCTTATGTTTTGTAGTACTAGGACTCAAACTCAAGGGGGCTGTACCACTGAGCTATATCCCCACCTCTGTTGCCCCCCTTTTTTTTTGGTACTGGGGATCGAACTTGAGACCTTGTGCTTTCAAGTCAGGCAGAGGAACCGCTGAGCTAGATCCTCGCCCCCCATTCCCCTTTTTAGACAAGGTCTCCCTAAGTTGCCTAGGCTGGCCCTGAACTTGTGATCTTCCTACCTCAGCTTCCCAAATTGCTAGGATTACAGGTGTGCACCACCTCACCCACTACAGTGCTGAGAAAACTCTTGATGTCTTAAAAGCTTAAATCCTTTAATGAGTATTTATTCTGCTCCTTATGGTTATGGGGAGGAAGGGAGCATTACATAGTACTTTGATGTTACCATTTGGGAATTTTAAAATTAAGATAAAAATGTTGATATGAATACAAACAAGGAGGGGAAAGTCCCATAGCAGAGAAACTAGACTGTACAAGTATAAATGTAAGTGGGTTCCTGGGTCATTTGTAAACATTTAATCTACTTTGTATACTTGTAACACAGGACTGGCATTCTTACTCAGTGTGCTCCATGTCAGAATGTTCCACCTCAGAGATCCCCAGGAGGGAAAGCAAATCTAATGGTCTCAAGTCAAGCTTCACCAAAAAAGTTTTATCATAAGAAACTTCCATTGTGTATTCTAAAACTAACATGTGGATTATATATTGTTTTAGATTTTCCATACAACTTCTGATTTCTTTGGAATAGCTGGGTTATCTGGAAATGGAAATCATTTACCAACGTACAGATAAAGACGAAAGTATGTGGGTTGGGTGTTGGGTGATTCTGTGGCAGAAATGTGATTATATGCCACTGCTAATTACAGCGTATGCGCCATGCTGTGCATACAAGTGCTGATGCAAGCTTTTGTAAATGTGTACTTCTTACGTATATTATGTGACATGAGTAAAGTCTGTAGAGGAGGCTAGCATTATTTCTTCAAGAATTGTTACCCTGTGATTCAAAAGCAGAAAGCCTTATTATGTTATTTTCTTAATTGATTTAGAAAATAACTATTATCTTTTGTGATTGGAAGAAATAGTTTTTTAAAACTTCCTCTTGAGAAGTAACTTACTGACTCATTTATGTAGGATGCTTTACATAAAGTAGCACAGTGTGAATTTTGTATCAAGTCTGATCTTTTTAGTGGAATTTTATATATTAGATTTTGGCAAGCATTCATACATCCATTGTTATGTTTAAATATAGCATTAGTAGAACTGAAATGCCTCATTTAAAAACACAGTAATCGAAAGACATAATGTAAATCTTAGCAATAAGATTAATAGTAGGATTAAGTTTGTAGCAGTACTGGTACAAGATGATGCTTTGTACTCAAATGAAAGGAACTAAACACAAAAATTTTAATGTATTGAGTGTATTTTAGAAGTATTTAGGAAAAATGTCTTGAAAGGAAACATGCTTCACATGATTGGGTAAATGTAGGACTGTTGTATTACAGAGAATTTTTTCTTTGTACTTTGCTATTTATCTTGGTTTTCTTGTTTATTTTACAGTGGAACCATATTACATTTGTAATGAAGAAAATGTCCATTATTGGAGAAAGTCTATAGTAATTACTTTTATGATCTTTATGTGGTAACTTATATAAGTCATTTAGATTTAGCAAGTGTGATGTGCTGTATTACCTTAGATGGAGTGCTTTCTTTCTTTGACTTAGTTGGGAGTGGGGAAGGAATAAGTTTTTAGTACTGAAGACAAAGAACACTTCTTAATATGTTTCTGTATTACTTTATAATACTATTTACTTTTGAAGTAACTTGTTTGAGAAAAAAGGAAATGTGAGTTGAATCATCACTTTCTAGAGATTAATCTTTTATATTTAATGGATGATGACAGGGTTTCTTCTGAAAATAAAAAATAAGTTTTGAAATGAAATTTCTTCCTTTTAAAAAACTTTATTTTCAAGATTGACCTTTGGAAAATACTATGTCTTTCTCTTTTGTTTCCAGAAATAGGACATGTATTCCTCTGAGAAACCTTGGACAGCAGATTTTGGTTTAATATCTGATTGGGACAACATACAGAGACATTTCCAGTCATGAGTAAGTGTGTGTCTTTTGTTTCAGTTATCGCAAGAGCATTTGCAGTGTTGTACTTAAAGAGAAAATGTACTATTGGACAAATCGGAATTATGTCATTTTTTAAGAGAGTGAATAATCTGATTCTTTCCAACACTGCATGTTTGTTTCTATTTAAACAAAGAGATACTTTTTAGTTGATTTATTCTAAGAAGTTAGATGTGATGTAGAAATCTGAATTATTAGTTTCTTGGCTGATTTAATTCTGTCACTTAAAGGTTTTTTAATTGACTAGCCATTGGAGAATGACCTACAAAATATAAATGGGGAATATTGAAGTTGACCATAATTGGGAGAGATTTTATTGTATGAAATGTAATCATTGGGTAACATGGATTAATATATTTAAGCAAAACAAAAATCTTCCTGGCAATGCCTTTGGTGGAACAGGGAACCAAGGCTATCTTGGATTTAACCAAATTTGAAACAGATTTTGTCTTTTTACTTGTAAGCAGATAGTATATGTAATATCTTCTGTCCATTTCTGTCCACTTCAACTTGTGAACAGAACTGGATTTTAAGTTGATTACTTTTAAAAGGAGGAAAAAAATAAAATTTTACTCTAACTGGGATCCTATGGAAGTTTTAAAATACAGATTTTTTGATTATGGAAACTTTGGGTTGGAATATTTTCTTATTGGAATATAATAGGGAATTTAAAATTTTAGCAATTATTTATATTGGTTATATTTATCTTAATATGAATTTGGGCAACTTTTCTCATCAATTTACTTGGGTATTTGATAAATGAAAATGAGACTCGCTATTGTGAGATCTGAGTCTTAGTTACTAAGAAGAATATTGCAAGACATGGTATTTGATTTTGGAGACTTTCTAGTAGTGTACTTTTTCAGTTGGTATATGTTTAATAAACAAGTATAGTTGCAGTTTAGGAAAGAAGCAGAGAGATGCTCTTCTAATATAAAGTGCCAACTCAGGTGAAGATGGTGATGCGTTCATGAAAATGATAACAGGAAAGGGAAGCTTTTTAACTTTAAAAATACATTTTTAGAAAGTTAAAATTTTCTAACATTTTTTATTTTTTAAATTAAAAGATTGTGTTTCATTTGCTATATTTTTAATTGGTTCTTTTGTATGTGTACTAGTTCTTTTTCATTTGTGCTTATTTTGCGATTGTTTTGTTCTGTTGTTATTCCAGTATCTCTTTGTGGATTTTTTATGTGTTTAGAGTCCTTTTCAGATCATGGGATTATTTTGAAGTTTTGTCTGGAGGGAATTTATGTTGTGATTTTTGATATTGATGTTTTTATCATGTTGTGTAATTTTTGAAGCACATTCTGTTTGAAGATTTAATTTTTTCCCTTTGTCTTGTGTCTCCTCTTTTTTTGTGATTTCCCCTGCCGGTCTAGAAGGTTTGTAGTTGTCTGTGCATGGCTTTGGGGTTTCCAGATCAGAATCCTATCTGTGTTAGTAAATCAGTCAAGCCCCTGTGGTGATGTTGGGGACATCACAGATTTAGTCGGTCAGCTGGCATTAGGTCAGCAACTTCCCTATAAGCTGTAGCCTTAGGACTGTTAGCAGAAGCCTTTTTCACTGTTTCATCCTAGAGAAAGTCTCCTTTCCCAGTTTCTGGTTTTTAGCAAAGAGGCTGGCTGTTGATCCTGCTTAATATGGAACAGGTTTATTTACAGTTACTCAAAGTGATGCAGGGGGAATCAATGTAACTCCCAACCTGCTAGATGTCAGATATATTGAGTTTGTGTTCCCCAAAATTGAAGAATGAATTCTAAGGAACAATGGAGGTTAGGAGTAGGAAAACTTTCTTGAGAAAGATAGCTCTTGAGAGATAGGTGGGGACCCAAAAATGGTTTGCCACGGACCCCACTTCACAGAGGAAGTTTTATAGAACAAAATCATGAGGTGAGTACAATGTGGGTCAGAACTGATCAGCCAATAAGATTACAAGTATAGCTGCCTAGGTAGTATTGATCCAGTGGGGAAGCAGGTCATGTAGCAAGTGTATATGGAAAGAACAAGGACTTTTTAAGGAAGAGATGAATCAGCAGGTCCTGGTCACCCAGTGGGGTGACTGATGTCTATCTAGACTTTATTGGACCAGGTGATACCAGTTATAGTATGTTGCTTATCCCTTGGGGAGGCGTGCAGGCCTGGTCATTTTGTCTATCTGGAGGCCTGGCCTTCAACAGATGTGCCTCCAGCCACAGTTGTAATGTGTTCTCATCTTCTGTACTGACTCCCTTGAGGGGCTAGCCCTGTCTGACTGCCTATAATATTTCTACCTAACTGTCTATAATACAAGGGTCAAACTTCCTGCTGCTTTTACCTGCTTTGGGGCTCAAAGTAGCTTAGCTTGTCTCATACTTTGTGTTCTTGTTACATTTCTGATCCATAGAGACGTGTAACATGTTTAGGGACATAGGTATGTCATTTTAGTGATTTGTTTTTGTATTTTATCTGTTAAAATATCTGTTTGATCTGTGTGTTTGTTGTGAAGAAGGAGGAGCCACAGAACGAACAGTGCCATTGGAATTTAACTACTGGTATTAGAATAAAGCCCAGACTCCTCACTTAATATTTAAAATTCTTCTTTACAAGTCTGCTTCTGCTTAGCTTCCTAGTTCTTTGACCCCCTTCCCCCGATCCTGCACGCCTGTACCACTTCCCTTGGTAGGTGAGGTCTTTGCACTTCCCTGTAGCACCCTGCTCACATTGTTCTAGTACCTGCCATACGGTATTAACATCATCTGTTGTTTGCACTTGCTTTCTCTAATCTGTGTGCTTCTTGAGGGCAAAAGTTATTTTATTCCTAGTGTCAAACATCTATTCTGGGCACTTAAATGCTAAGTAAATATTGTACATTTTTGGGTGTTCTGCGTAATGTGCCTGGTATGGGGCAGCTATCTGTGCATTAATATTTTTAGATGAAATTTGAGCTGTTTCCATGAGAAGGGTATGTGTACAGAGTAGCACAGAATAAAGTAAAGCATTCTAGGTAGAGGAGCCATGCCAGAGAGTGTTACTAAGTAGTTGATAATTCTCAATTATAGATTGAGAAGGGAGATTGTGAGACAGAAAGCTGGAGAGGAAGTTAGACTCCTAGTCATTTACAGTCTGGGAAGTTGGGATTTTATCTTAAAATAAAATGACATGGCTTGTGACACTGGTAAAAGATTTCAGTTACATAAATAATTTAAGATTTCATTTTGGAAAAAACTATTCTGAGAAGTAGATGTTTTTGTGAGCTATAAATTAAAAAGTCTGGGTTACATAGGCAGTATTTACTTTCCTAGTTTTGTTCTTAGATTTTAGTTTTTAAAAACTCCCTTTGAGTCATACTGAGTTACATTTCTTTTTCTTGGCAATTTGATGTTTTTCTCTAGCAAAAGACACTGTACTTGAGTAGACCACTGTAATGACAGGTTAGGGAGTGTTACAGAGTTCTACTTTATGCTGCATTTTCTAGGGGGTTGTAAGTCTTCCAGAGAGTGGGAACTGATCATACTAGAAATCTTGATTTTGGAAAAAAGATTAATGGGAGATTGATAAAGATTTAAAAAAAAAAAGAAGAAGAGGAATATATACTATTAAATTTAGGTAGAATTTCCAAACCTAGATTTGGGTAAGAATGACGGATTAAGTAACTTTTTTCTTCAGTGTTTTTCTAGAGATAATTGTGTGTGTGGGTAAATTTATCTATGCAGGATCTTGCAACCCTTTTCCTGCCATGAAACACATAGACGATAGTCATTGTTGTACAGATCATGGAATAAACAGATGAAGCATGGAGGCGACTGGTTATGACATCTCAGGCCAGGCTGCCATGTATACTCAACCAACTTGAGAGCGTGGGGGGGATCACTTTCTTGACCTACATGACATAGTCTTGGGACAGGAGGTGGGTGCCCGAACTGTGAAGTCTAGAGAATTTATTAAATACTTTTTGATGTTTTTCCGCTTTTATGCTGGTTAACATGTATTCTGCCAAATTTTGAGGCTAAATACATAAGTATTATATTATACTATTAGGATGTTGAATTTCATTGTGGATTGTTAACTTTATTATAACCCACAAAATGCCTTTTGATTTTCAGTACTTAATATTGTTATTTGTTTTGTATTTGCATATTTTGCAGTGTTTAACATTTATTTGATTTAACCATTTTGTTTTGTCAAATGATGCCAAAGATGAAACAAAGTTGTTATACTCAAAGTATGGCTGTAATTTGAAATGGATATCTTAGATCTTTAGTAGATGTTATAACAAGGACAATTCTGTAAAAGGCAGTGTTGTACAAAATGATTATTTTGGTGGAAAATGCACACACCTACTCAAAGTGATTAGCTGTACAAAACCTTATTTGCTCTATTGTTTGATTTTAATCTCCATTTCGGTATTTTATTTCACTTTTTTCAGGAAAGTTTTACTCTGTAATTAGTGACATATGTCCAAAGAGTCTTTGGATGTCAGCTTTCTTCTCCTGACTCGCAATCCAGGAGTGAATCTGTCATACTGGAGTGTTTGATTCTGCCCTTTGGCCTATATATTGGAATATGTTTTTTTGGAGATCACTTCTATATAGGAAGCATCTCTCATTCAATTGAGGAAGAAGAATGACTGAATAATTTTTGTGTAGTGTATTTATGGTTTTCTAATAGGAGTAAAGATCTTCCTGTACTGGGGCAGTAGACTAAATTCATGCTGAAATGTGAAGAACAATTTATATTTTAATATTTATTAGAACAACTAATATTATAAATAATTGAATAGACCACTAAATCTCTCCTTGATGGCATAAGGATTCTTCTAGTCTTGGTCAATAGAAAAGTTATGCTGCAAGTAACAGAAGACTTTCCTAAGTAGCCTGTTAGGATACTGTATATATTTTGTTTTATGGAATAGCTATATACTTCAGAAATTGGGTGGAAATTAAAAGAAAATTTAAGTTGAATTGTCTTTTAAATGCTGATGTGATTGTTGTTTA